GGTCAAATTGACCCCCCCCCCCCCAGCAGGAATAGTGTTAAAAAAATAAAAACGTTAAAAAGCCCGATCATTTTTATTGAAAAAGAAAGTTTTATAAACGTGTAGACAATCCAATTTAACATTACCTTTCATTTTGAATAATAGAAATTTTTGATACCATTGATGTGAAATAAAGTAAAGGAAGTGTTCGATTTAAAAATGGATTCATATTTGTATTTTAAATTGTAACATCTTTTATTATTTTACACTTTGATAGGTGCATGCTCAATAATTGTTTTTCAATGTGCGTGCTCAATAGTTGGTTTTCAATGTGCGTCCTCAATAGTTGGTTTTCAATGTGCGTCCTCAATAGTTGGTTTTCAATGTGTGTCCTCAATAATTGGTTTTCAATGTGCGTCCTTAATAGTTGGTTTTCAATGTGCGTCCTTAATAGTTGGTTTTCAATGCGCGTCCTTATTGTTTGTGTATTAATCAATAAAGGTTCATAATCACACTATGATAAGTTGTCACAAATTTTGAGACTGGGTCGACTTTTAAATGTCGCCACGCCTTGGCGTTAGTTTTATCTAACTAACTTTTTTTTAAATATAAAGTACTTGTTATGATCTTCAGTTTTTAAGAAGTATTTGGCAAAATTCTCATTTTATGCTTCAGTGTTTTCAACATTTTTGGCTCACTGTGATAAATTCCCTTATTTTTGGTCTTTGTACTAAAATATATGTTTATCACATTTCTCTAGCAAATAATTTTAATAAATTTAAAATAAGATAAAATAATTATAATAAACATTAAAATAAGATAAAACATCTCTAAATCCTCTAATATTTTAATTAACAATTTTAGGAACTAATTTTGTATAAGTTTTCATGTATAATTTGTAGATTAATATTCTTCTTATTCTAAATATATAAAATTCGATGAAAAATCTTTGATAAGCTCTACCAAACATTACCGGAAGGCGAATTCAAATATTTCACCATTAAAAACTAAATCTCAAAACCTAAATTTAAATCTACATTTTTTCAAGACAAAGAAATTGAGTCTTTAATACAAACTCAAATTTTCTAATTCCATTTTTTGCAACCAAACGATGTAAACCTTAGATTTTGCAAACTTAGTTTATTTGATCTCACAGAATTTATAGTTTGAAATATCTAAGGTCTTCAACATTGGGTCACAAAGATATCATGATTAGAAAATCTGGGTTTGTGGCAAAAACTTAATTCCTTTCTTTAATTTTGATCAGGCTTCAGTTCAGCCAATTTTCAAGTTTAATAAATGCAAAGAAACGAGAAAACAAACAGACAAGTCTGATATAAACATCATATATAAAATGCACCTGAGCCCCCATCTTCTAGCTACCTCATCAGGATCTGACAGCTTAAACTCCCATCCATCTCCTAAACAACAAACTATAATTCATTTTTCAATTTTTTATTTCATTTTTAATAAAGAAATGAAAAGTACAATTATGCTACCAAAACACATAGTTTCTATGCATGAAATGCAATATTGTTTCTCCCTAGAAGAAGCTGATTTGATGTATATTTTCAGCCATATATTGGTTGAATTATGAACTAAAATTATCTCTATTTTCAGCCATCTATTGGTTGAATTATAAACTTAAATTATCTCTATTTTCAGCCATCTATTTGTTGAATTATAAAATAAAATTATCTCTATTTTCAACCATCTACTGGTTGAATTATAAACTAAAATTATCTCTATTTTCAGCGATCTATTGGTTGAATTATAAACTTAAATTATCTCTATTTTCAGCCATCTATTTGTTGAATTCTAAAATAAAATTATCTCTATTTTCAACCATCTACTGGTTGAATTATAAACTAAAATTATCTCTATTTTTCAGCCATCTATTGGTTGAATTATAAACCATAAATTATCTCTATTTTCAGCCATCTATTGGTTGAATTATAAACTAAAATCATCTTTATTTTTAGCCATCTATTGGTTGAATTATGAAATAAAATTATCTCTATTTTCAGCCATCTATTGGTTGAATTATGAACTAAAATCATCTTTATTTTTAGCCATCTATTGGTTAAATTATGAACTAAAATTAACTCTATTTTCAGAAATCTATTAGTTGAATTATAAACTATATATTTTTATTTTTAGCCATCTATTAGTTTAATTATGAACTAAAATTATCTCTATTTTCATCTATCTATTGGTTGAATTATAAACTAAAATCATCTTCATTTTAAGCCATCTATTGGTTGAATTATGAAATAAAATTATCTCTATTTTCAGCCATCTATTGGTTGAATTATAAACTAAAATTATCTTTATTTTTAGCCATCTATTGGTTGAATTATAAACTAAAATTATCTCTATTTTCAGCCATCTACTGGGTGAATTATAAACTAAAATTATCTCTATTTTCAGCCATCTATTAGTTGAATTATGAACTAAAATTATCTCTATTTTCAGCCGTCTATTGGTTGAATTATAAACTAAAATTATCTCTATTTTCAGCTATCTACTGGTTGAATTATGAGCTAAAATTATCTCTATTTTCAGCCATCTATTGGTTAAATTATGAACTAAAAATGAACCTGTCCATGATATAAACTGTTGACAGGATTTGTCTGTAAGAAGTTCAAGAAGAAACTGCCAAAGTTGGATAGGTCCTGAACCCTGTAATAATAGGAAAATATTAAATATCTGTAGAATTCACAAATGATACAGAAGGACCCGAAACCGGTGGAAGACGAATTTTCAAATTTATATGGGGATGTATATGATGTTGTTATGATGATGTTATTATTACAAGTATCTTAAAAATAAACGTGAACCATTATGTTAATTATTTAAAACTAACTATCCGTAATTTAGAAATGATTTTGGTATTTCTATAATACCAAGAAAATGTTAGGGTTTGTATAACAGTGTGTAAGAATGATCGTAACTGGTATCTGTTTATAATAGTGTTTAAGAATGAGTACCTCTTATCTGTCCATAACAGTGTGTAATAATTAATACCTGGTATCTGTTTATAACAGTGTGTAAGATTGAGTACCTGGTATCTGTTTATAACAGTGTGTAAGAATGAGTACCTGGTATCTGTTTATAACAGTGTGTAATAATTAATACCTTGTATCTGTTTATAACAGTGTGTAAGATTGAGTACCTGGTATCTGTTTAGAATAGTGTGTAAGATTGAGTAACTGGTATCTGTTTAGAATAGTGTGTAAGAATGAGTAACTGGTATCTGTTTAGAATAATGTGTAAGAATGAGTACCTGGTAATCTGTTTATAACAGTGTGTAAGAATGAGTACCTGGTATCAGTTTATAACAGTGTGTAAGAATGAGTACCTGGTAATCTTTTTATAACAGTGTGTATAGATTGAGTACCTGGTATCTGTTTATAACAGTGTGTAAGAATGAGTACCTGGTATCTGTTTATAATAGTGTGTATAGAATGAGTACCTGGTATCTGTTTATAACAGTGTGTAAGAATGACTACCTGGTATCTGTTTATAACAGTGTGTAAGAATGACTACCTAGTATCTGTTTATAACAGTGTGTAAGAATGAGTACCTGGTATCTGTTTATAACAGTGTGTAAGAATGAGTACCTGGTATCTGTTTATAACAGTGTGTAATAATTAATACCTGGTATCTGTTTATAACAGTGTGTAAGAATGAGTACCTGGTATCCTGCTAGCAGAGTGGCAGGTATCATGGGTTGTCCAGGTAGTTGGTCCCGAGGATGTGGGAGGAGAGCAGGATGAGTGTAGTAGGACGGATGAAGGCCTTCCTAAACAAAACATTAAACAATAAAAGGGACTGTAAAGCAATTTCAAAATATCAGCCTGCATTTTTTAAAGTGAAATTTCCGATTAACAAGTGTGCTCTGCTTTATATGATCAAAATTAAATGTGTTCATATTGTTCTTTCTGAAAATTGATCATTTTCGATTTAGTTCCTCCATAAAAGTAATTGCGGTTTTATGAAAGTTACTTATGAAAGCCTCTCAAGCAACGATAACCTCAACCATTATTGATCAGATNGACGAACGACTGAATAAATACCTGATGCCAAACCCCTGGATCATGAGCCTGGAATGAATGGGAAGGATGAGGATGAGGATGAGAATGAGGGTGAGGATGAGGAAGAGGATCATAGTAACTATACTGCTGACTGTACTCAGTATATTTCCTACAAAGACAAGATACTTTAATATGTCCAAAATTAATCCAATAAAAACATATTATACTAAAAAATCGCTTATTTTGCAGCTATAGTTGAATGGCTGCCAAATTAACGACAAAAAAATCGCTAATTTGGTAGCCATAAAATTGTTGTTGCCAAATAAGCGATTTTGTTAAATATAAGAGATTGTTATTGCTTTATTAGAAGCTGCCAAATTAGCGATTTTTTTATTTCGTAAATTCAAGTGCAGAATGGAATCAGATATACTTATTAAAAGGCGTGTATTCTTGCTTTGTAGATTTAAAATAGCTTAATTAAGCTGACTAAATTACAGATACTTACACCGTTAATATGTTAAAAAAATTTACAGTCGATATCCCGGGGTGATCATACCCTGTAGGTAGAAGTGGGACATAGCTTGGTTCGGTTTTTAAACTTTTAATGTTAACTAGGAGTTCTAAAAAAATCTGGGAAATATTTCAAATTTCAAAGTCGTTCATTCTTTTGATCTAGAGAGAAATTTATCCAAAAACGAACCAAACTAGATCATTTTTGCTTCCTTTTTTTCTTTTATCTTTAGCCAGGAAGAAAATATTGCAAAGCAAACTTTTCTAGAATTATAGTTTTGAAATATTATTTCTAAAGTCCTAGACTCTAACTAGCCAAGCTATGTCCCATGACTATAACACCTGGAGAGATAACCTTAACTGTGCAGTATCTATCAGTTATCCTGAAATCTAAAACCACACAGTGGTTATCGAGGTCAAGCGCGCGTTAAAGTTTCCACATATAAGCTCATAATTTTTTTGTGACTTATTTATAAAATCGAAATTTCAAGTGATGTGTCTGATTCACAACGGTTCCCGTTGGCACCATGGTACATTAATAAAGCTACTTAATTAAAAATTACTAAACATTACGTCTACAGAGGCTGAATTTAAAGAATTTGAGTCGCGGCTCAAATATAGTTGGTTCCACTTAAAATTGTATTCAATGTTTCAAGATTTAAGCAGGCGCTCAATTGAAACTGGTTTTTGACGGATTTGAGACGCGACTAAAATTCATTAAATTCGGACTCAGTTCATCAAATTTTTGTTTTAACGCCCTAGTTCTAGTACCTGAGTTGTGATGAGGAGGTGTAGGTTGGGAGATTATTGTTAAATAGAGACACATGACACACTGGTGTAGCTGGGGTCAGGGGAGGCAAAGATGTGGCTGATGTCAAGGAAGGGAGGGTATTGGAGTACTTGGATTTACTATCGAACCCAGGATGACCGTACAGGTCGGACTGTGTCAATTGACCAACTGAAAAGGAAATTAATTAATTTGAAACAAGGGTTTCTGAGTATTATGACTAAAATAAGTATATTTAATTTGAAACCGGAGTTTCTGAGTATATTCTGACTAAAATAAGAATATTTTATTCAATTAATCTTGAGGGTTAAATTATTTGCTCTTTAAAATTTTAAATTAAATTTAAGAATTTTCTTTACTTTTAAAAATTATCCAAATAATGGACAAGAGTAGACTTTAATCCTTTGTATTACTCTTTTACAAATGAACAAAAAAGACTGCGAAGTTTTCGTAGCTAAAGACTACACCCCAAGCTAAGCTATCGGTGAGTATTGCATTACTTTGTAGTAAAACTCTGAACGAAAGAAAAGTGCAGGGTTTAGTGATGAGTCTAGGCTTCTAACTTTCTAACGTAACTCTTTCAGGCTTAACTTTTAACTGTTGATTTTTTACAGGAACAGATTGAAATTTTATATTAAAGGTGCAAAGATAAAAATTTCTCCCGGAAAAATTTTAGACATTTATTATTATTGAAACAGAAAAATTGGCGAAAATAGGAAGACAATTAAAAAATGGCAAATTCATAGAGCAACAGTTAAAAATTAAAATTGCGTATAGTATATACTAGCTTAAGAATCGACAGCTTATCCGGGAACTTTGCTTTCAAGTCTACTCAGCTGTAATCAAATACATACAAACGAAAAAACAGATAATTACAGAGATTAATACTTTATCTTTAAAGATGCCATCGTTATATATAAACTGTTGTAGATGTATACATATGTTATCTACAATAGTTTAATTAGTATCTCAAAAAATATCACTAAAATTAAAGGGACTAGCGACGCTGTAAAATGATGAGGATGTGCTCGTTTTTTAATTAAAAAATTGTTAGTTTTAAACTACAGCTTCTCTTTTAAATTAACTTGAGGATTTATGGAGGACAACAAATTTTGATATAAAAACTAATCGAACTGACCGGAGGCTGGATTAAACTGAGCTGGTGGGGGAGGGGGTCGACTAACACTGTGCTCCATCATCTATTTCATATTCTCCAGGATACACGAGAATGCCCCCCAATATCCAGGATACACCACACCCAAAGAAAACCAGCTGTTTCCCGGACACTTCTAAATCCTCGTTTCCCGCCAAAATCAAATCCTATTTCCCGCCAGAATATCCCGACAAATCTCAATGGAACATTTCCTTGCAAAGGATATACTCCCTTTCCCTTTCGGTAGGCGAACTCGACTGGAATCCGGGAAACGGTGGCAGGGCCGCAATTTCCTGAGGAACCATTACCCACATCGGGGCTAAACATTTTGACGGTGCGCGAAGTTCAGGATGTTGCAATCACAATGAAATATTGATTATTTTAAAATAACCCTGTTTCATTTTAATTTGTTAAATCCTATTTTTAATGCTGATAAAAATTATCTTACATTGCGGAATTTATTTTGTGAAATATTAAAGTTGCAACAACCCGTCGGAGGAAATGGGGTGAAGGAAAATGTGGCGTAGAAGTCTCCGGGGTCATCACGTGATATATCCATCCATCCAACTCATCCTCATTCTACACATTCAACACACACATTCTTAGAATTCTAAATCTGTTCTTTGCTCATCCACTGCACTTTCTTACATTATCAGGGACACAGGAGATTTAAAAGTAAGTTAACGGAATTTCAAGTAAACCTCCAGAGTGACATAACCAATTCACAACGGTATCCTTAAATTTGTTGACTAACTAGGGATGGAAAGGTATCCATATATTTGTCTACATATAAAGAAATTATTATTTTGTAAGAAACTTCCTGAGACGCAATTAATGCCCTATTCACAATGGTACTCTAGAAATCTTATCTCATGTGTAAGATGGTATCGTTTTTCTAGATTTAAAAGAGTTTAATTCTGATAATATCTATTCTTTATCCTGTAGTAGAAATGTGCAAGTCACAATTTGTAGAGAACTCGCAATCTAAACAAATCAGTTTTAAATATGTATAAACATTGATTTATAATTTTCATACTTGATCATACGAAGCTTTTAATGGAACCGTTGTATATGGTCGGGTCACTTGAAATTACGCGTATAGTCCCTTTAATAGGTTGATTTTCAAGCAAAACACTATTTGTTTCATAAGTCATAACAAAATAAAACCCAATGATTGCGCGCTCTAATCTCGTCTGTCTATAAGTTATTTACATAGCTAGCTATACAGTCCTATCAGTTTCAGAAAAAATTATTCAAAATAAATGTTTATGAATGCTTTTGGTAAGTCTTTTGGATGTTTTAGCTTTAAAGTCTATTACTCATCCTCTCCCATCAAAATGTTACGTTATTGACTTTTTGTAAAAATCAGCATCGAAAATATCAGTCTAATAAACCGTTGGAAAATTAGGTTTTATTGAGAATGATAAGTAAAGGTTCTAATTCAGGGCAGAAACCCCTTAAATATTTGAGATGTGTTTGTAAAGTGTGAGTTTGTGAGTAGGAGAGTAAGTGAGTGAGAGGGTGTTTAAATGTGTGTATGTGTGATCTTGCCCCCAGCGTTGACATTTCCTTCCTAATTATGGAGGAATCTCTAAAGAAGGTGAAATTACTGGGGCTTCCGCTCGTTAAAGTCACCACGTACAATGCCGCCATTTTGCATTTTCTCAACCAACAGGATTCTTCTATAATCTGAATCCACCAATGTAAAGCTAGGAAATGATCTGATCACCAATAAGAGAATTGTTCTCACGCATTTGACCTTTTTGGCGGGGGGTAACAGGGATTGATCTAATACCAATAATGTGTTTTAGAAATTTTTTTTAAAAAATTTTTTAAACATTAGTATATGATGATTTGATGACTCAAAATCTACAATGTGAACTGAAAAAGAAAATGTATTTCTCTCAAAATATTTTTAAATGATGATAATCTGTATAAAGTATATGAGCAGTGCAAAATATTAGAGATAGGCAAATAATCTCATTTTTGAAAACAATTCCGCGGTAAAAGTACAAATTCAAGTATTGCACAAATACTAATAGGTTTTGTAAATTGATATTTGGTGCTCATATAGCTAGGTTCGTATATGATAATGATACACCTGTAAATTATTATAAATTTGTCTATCTTTATATAAAGCTTAAATAGTTCTTTAAATATTTAGGGATCATCTTAAACATAAAATTTTAATAGAAATTGTTTATTTGTTATTAAAAACATTAGTATCAGGTTGAGATTTTTCTAAAAGAAAAGGATTTTTGTGGATGTAATAGCCAAATATTTTTTATTGGAGATGAGAGAACGCGGCCGGAGACCTAATCGCAAAGGCTCAGATAAATAGCTATGTTTAATGATTTGAGAAGCTTATAGGCCATTCTGAGAATCAGGAGACTCTGTAGGTCATTTGGCCGGGCTCATGGCTGCCTTGCACCCTCTCCCTAACAAGACTGACTTTCGCATTTTGAGCTTGAGAAACAGTACATAAATTAACAGAATTAAAAACTTTACATCTTCCACATCATTAATCAGATATAGGTTTTAAGGTTACAGTTGAGAATCTGGAATGAAATGTCAATTGAAATTACGCTTACAGTCCCTTTGATTGCTGAAACCATTCCCATCTATATCATAAATTGCATAGTGTACACTCTAGCAGTAAACTTTCCCAGGACACGAATCATGGTATAAGTAATTACAATGTGGGAATGGGGNTTATCCTTCGTCTAGTTGGAATCCCTTCTCTTTTTACAATTATCCTTCGTCTAGTTGGAATCCCTTCTCTTTTTACAATTATCCTTCGTCTAGTTGGAATCCCTTCTCTTTTTACAATTATCCTTCGTCTAGTTGGAATCCCTTCTCTTTTTACAATTATCCTTCGTCTAGTTGGAATCCCTTCTCTTTTTACAATTATCCTTCGTCTAGTTGGAATCCCTTCTCTTTTTACAATTATCCTTCGTCTAGTTGGAATCCCTTCTCTTTTTACAATTATCCTTCGTCTAGTTGGAATCCCTTCTCTTTTTACAATTATCCTTCGTCTAGTTGGAATCCCTTCTCTTTTTACAATTATCCTTCGTCTAGTTGGAATCCCTTCTCTTTTTACAATTATCCTTCTGTCTAGTTGGAATCCCTTCTCTTTTTACATTTATCCTTCGTCTGGTTGAAATCCCTTCTCTTATAACAATAATCCTTCGTCTAGTTGGATTCCCTTCTCTAATAACAATAATCCTTCATCTAGTTAAAATCCCTTTTCTTATAACAATAATCCTTTGTCTAGTTGGAATCCCTTCTCTTATAACAATAATCCTTCGTCTAGTTGAAATCCCTTCTTTTATAACAATAATCCTTCCTCTAGTTGAAATCCCTTCTCTTTTAACAATGATCCTTCGTCTAGTTGGAATCCCTTCTCTTATAAAAATAATCCTTTGTCTAGTTGAAATCCCTTCTCTTATTACAATAATCCTTCGTCTAGTTGGAATCCCTTCTCTTTTTACAATAATCTTTTGTCTAGTTGGAATCCCTTCTCTTATAACAATAATCCTTCGTCTAGTTGGAATCCCTTCTCTTATTACAATAATCCTTTGTCTAGTTGAAATTCCTTCTGTTATAACAATAATCCTTCCTCTAGTAGAAATCCCTTCTCTTTTAACAATGATCCTTCGTCTAGTTGGAATCCCTTCTCTTATAAAAATAATCCTTTGTCTAGTTGAAATCCCGTCTCTTATTACAATAATCCTTCGTCTAGCTGGAATCCCTTCTCTTATTACAATAATCCTTCGTGTAGTTGGAATCCCTTCTCTTTTTACAATAATCCTTCGTCTAGTTGGAATCCCGTCTCTTATTACAATTATCCTTCTGTCTAGTTGGAATCCCTTCTCTTATTACAATTATCCTTCGTCTAGTTGGAATCCCTTCTCATATAACAATAATCCTTCGTCTACTTGGAATCCCTTCTCTTTTTACAATAATCCTTCGTCTAGTTGGAATCCCTTCTCTTATAACAATAATCCTTCATCTAGTTGGAATCCCTTCTCTTTTTTACAATTATCCTTCTGTCTAGATGGAATCCCTTCTCTTTTTACAATTATCCTTCATCTAGTTGGAATCCCGTCTCTTATTACAATAATCCTTTGTCTAGTTGGAATCCCTTCTCTTATTACAATTATCCTTCGTCTAGTTGGAATCCCTTCTCATATAACAATAATCCTTCGTCTAGTTGAAATCCCTTCTCTTATTACAATAATCCTTCGTCGAGTTGGAACCCCTTCTCTTCTTACAATTATCCTTTGCTAGTTGAAATCCCTTCTCTTTTTACAATTATCCTTCTGTCTAGTTGGAATTCCTTCTCTTTTTACAATTATCCTTCGTCTAGTTGGAATCCCTTCTCTTTTTACAATTATCCTTCGTCCAGTTGGAATCCCTTCTCTTTTTACAATTATCCTTCTTCTAGTTGAAATCCCTTCTCTTATTACAATAATCCTTCGTCTAGTTGGAATCCCTTCTCTAATAACAATAATCCTTCATCTAGTTAAAATCCCTTCCCTTATAACAATAATCCTTCGTCTAGTTGGAATCCCTTCTCTTATAACAATAATCCTTCGTCTAGTTGAAATCCCTTCTCTTATAACAGTAATCCTTCCTCTAGTTGAAATCCCTTCTCTTATAACAATAATCCTTCGTCTAGTTGGAATCCCTTCTCTTTTTACAATAATCCTTCGTCTAGTTGGAATCCCGTCTCTTATTACAATAATCCTTCGTCTAGTTGGAATCCCTTCTCTTAT